CCACCCCATACTGGGCAAAATTGAACACCGACTTACAACGGATAACGGATGAGAATAACCCAGAAGTGTGCATTGCGTCAAGGACCCGCCAACGTTCGTTTATGTTGCCAATGCAGACTGCAGGGGTTTGGGCTTATTTCTTTCAGCGGGGTTCGATCGTCGGGCAATACATGTGGAGTTCACGCGACACGGCGCGATACACGATGCTATGTGATCGCAATGAATTGAGATTGGTTTCATGTTCTTTAGAGGAGTTTCGGTGCATAGCATGGATCACGGAGAACGGCATACGATACCTTATGGAGTTTCCTTTTCGCGGGTTCTACGCATAGTGGAAAAGTAGCAATGGAGCGCTTCATCACGGTTTCTTACAGGATGTAATGTGATGTCGTGAAATGATCTTGAGGACGCATCTTCCAGGCTTATCCTTGCCACGCAATTTGGAATTATCCACTCAAGTTCATGCCAACATAAACATCAGCTCAAACCTAACAATCCCATCCAGAACAAACCCTGGCGTCCAGTAGCATAGTTCAGATCATGAAGATTTGTGATGCTGGGTATCATTAACGTCAAAAAATATGGAAGACCACAAGTCTCTGCGACACTACATAGACTCAATCCAACTCCCCACAAGCCAAACACTCGCACAACCCACCAAAGCCGCAGCTCCGTACGCCTGCTTCGTCCACCCTTGCTCTTCATCCACCTTCCAAGCCCCCTCCGTACGCGCTTTGTGCGATACCTCTTCCGCGCTCGCGTTCCCCACACTCTGATCATGACTCTTCGCCAGCTTAACCGCGCTCCCCGCTTCACGTACCCACCCCGTCTCATTCCGCCCCTCAACCTCCACATTCTGCACATTCCCAAAAAAGTCCATAACCCTCCTCTCCCTCGCCGCCCTCTCCCCTCCCTCAAAAAGATCATACCGTATACCCGGATGACTGTGTATCTTCTCCTCGTCATAGCTATCAAAAAGGTCACCCATGGTAAGTTTGGACGTCGGGTCTTTGACCTGGTTTTCCAAAAACTCGAGATTGTAGTATGTGTAGCGGTCGATGACGGCGACGCCGACGTCGTTGTCGGCGTGGTGGGAGTAGGAGGATTGGTCGATTTCAGAGGAGCCGGTGGCGAGGATGTTGGGCGTGTAGAATTTGGAGTACATGGTGTTGGCTTGGCAGGTGTCTATCATGAAGAGGATTTCGTGGTAGCTGGGTGGGGTGGTGTTAGTGGATGGGTCTTGGGTGGAAGGGGTGGAGGGATGGAGGGGTGGACGTACCGTTTCTTCTCCCACATCTGGCCAAACGCATCTGCGAGGTCGAAAGCGCTAATCTCCTCCGCGTCTTGGAACTTGAGGAATTCGTTCCCGCCATGCCCGGTCATGTACACGAGGATGTTACTCCGCTCGTCCGTCATCAACCTCTTGCTTCGCGGCATGTCCTCGCCCACTCTGTCCGTCATCAACCTAATGAAGTTCTCGACCGTGACTTCGTAGCCCCGGTAGTCCACCTCGATGTTGTCGCCGTATAGATCTAGCGCTCGGTCGGCGTTGTTGTAGACGGTTCCGGGGAAGGCGTTGCGCGGGTTGCATGCCATGTCGTCGGGCAGCATGAGGATGATTTGCGAATCGGGGATCCCGAGACGCTTGACGGTGCGGTAGAGCGAGAGAACATTGGCGAGGTGGCGGTAGTTGAACCAGAAGCGTGATGTTGAGACGAGGACCGCCCAGTTGGATGTGTGTTCGCTGGCGACGAAGGGGACCGCCAGCAAAGGCAGGAGAGCGGCAGAGAACTTCATCGCGAAGATTGTATGGATTGTAGATCTGCGGGCTGGCTCAAATGGCTCTTGACGTCGTATTGCGGACCCGCGACGCGCCCCTGTCTAGCAGTTCGCGATGCCCGTTGTCGATGTTGGCGCAATCTGACAAATCGGAGATAAGCGTTCACTCCGCCAATAACAGCCGGCTGTCACGTGTGGATCCGCGCACGCTAGCAGATCGCCTTGCATCATCGCGTGCACATGCCCAAGCACGCCATACCATGTCAAGACTCCGTTATCTTCCCATCAGCGTCCTTCTGACCTCTTTCTTTTCTTTCCCGCATGCGCCTTCCTCGTTCTCACGCTGGCTGAGTCAATTCAGCTCCAGGATATCTCGAGGATGGCTCCAGACCGGGGATCGTCCGCATCGCTGGAAAACGAAAGAGCAGGGCATGGTGAAGAGGTGGATGGTCATGCGCTCGGCCGCAGTACCACGGGTGCGCGCAGGTACCTGGCTGAGCAGGCAGATCAGCCGCAAAACTTCACGCTGAGGGGTGTTTTGGTGGGCTTGGCGATTGGCGTTGTGATATGCTTTTCCAACATGTACTTTGGGCTGCAGACGGGTTGGGTTTCCGGCATGGCGATGCCTTCTGCTCTGATCGGATTCGCGTACTTCAAGGTCGTTGCCAGGACGCTCAAGTTGCCGTTCACGCCCGTGGAGAACGTTTTGGTTCAATCAGTCGCTGGATCGGTAGGCACCATGCCTCTCGGATGCGGATTTGTTGGCGTAATTCCTGCGCTGAACTATCTGTTGACGCCTGAAGAGAATGGGCCGCTGGAAATTAGTCTGTGGAAACTGATCGTGTGGTCTGTTGGTATCTGCTTCTTTGGAGTAGTGTTTGCAGTGCCCTTGCGGAAAAAGATGATCATCAGAGAGAAGCTGAAGTTCCCTAGTGGTACTGCGACTGCTCTTTTGATCAGAGTGCTACATGGAGACGAGAAATCAAAGACGATGATGGCCCGTGAAGGAGTCCAGGACGGGGACGATCAGTCCAACGACGGAGAGACACAGGGCCTGTTGCAAGGTTCAAGCGCGCAGCGAGAAGAGCATGACCTCAGGCCATCCATGGACGACAGCATGAAGGACCCAGATCAGGAGCTCGGAGAAGACGGAGACTGGAGATCGAAAATCAGATTACTGCTCATCTCTTTTGGCGGATCTGCGCTATATACTGTCGTATCGTACTTCCTCCCGCAGCTTCACGACATACCCGTATTCGGTCTTTCTTTAGCGCAGAACTGGCTCTGGACCTTAAACCCCTCACCTGCGTACGTTGGCCAAGGTATTATCATGGGCCCTGCTACGACACTACACATGCTTCTCGGTGCGATCATAGGCTGGGGTATCCTTTCGCCTCTCGCAAAGCACAAAGAGTGGGCACCAGGGCCAGTGTCAGACTGGACTAACGGCTCAAAAGGCTGGATCGTCTGGATTTCTCTCGCCATCATGTTAGCAGACTCCCTCGTCAGCTTAGGATGGCTCCTTCTGCGCCCAGTCGTCACGATTGCCAGAGCTTACTACCCAACCGCGAAAGAGGACTTCCAGTCGCATACCTGGAAGGAGATCTTCACGCTCAACATCACGTCCAAGCCACAGTATACCCAGCTCAGCGACGGCACATCCGTCAATCCCTTGGAAGCAATCAAACAGCACCTAGCTGAAGGCAACGAGCCCGACGCGCCGCCCGAGCACCTCGTCTCGAACCGCACCACCATCATCGGCCTCATCACATCCCTAGTCCTTTGCGTCATCGCAGTCCACGTGTCCTTCCCCAACCTCATTCCCCTCCGCCTTACCCTACTCTCCCTCGTCCTCGCGCTCGTCCTATCCATCATGGGCGTCCGCGCCCTCGGCGAAACCGATCTCAACCCCGTCTCCGGCATCTCAAAGCTCACCCAACTCGTTTTCGCGCTCGTCACCCCAACCACCGGCCCCGGCGCCAAAAACGCAGTCATCATCAACCTTGTCGCAGGCGCCATCTCTGAGTCCGCGGCACTACAAGCAGGCGATCTGCTGCAGGACCTCAAATGCGGACATCTCCTTGGCGCGGCGCCGAATGCGCAGTTCTGGGGTCAGATGATTGGGTCTGCGGTTGGTGCTGTGTTATCTGCTGTTGTGTATAAGCTCTATACTAATGTTTACACGATTCCTGGTGGCCTGTTCGAGGTGCCGACGGGATACGTATGGGTCTTTACCGCGCGATTGGTGACTGGAAAGGGTCTACCGCCTATGGTCAAGGAATGGGCTAGTGGGGCAGCTATCATCTTTGCCATGGGCACGATGGTCAGAGTGTGGGGTAACAGCAGAAAGCAGAGGGGTCTAAGTGGGTGGTGGATCGACTTTGTGCCCGGTGGCATTGCTGTTGCTGTTGGTATGTCCCTCGCTCTTTTACTGGTCACGATGTGTCCACTAACTCTTCGCGTAGGCATGTATAACACGCCTTCTTTCACGTTGGCGCGTACAATTGGCGGTTTGCTCAGTCTGTGGTGGCGCCGCTGGAAGGGTCGGAGTGAGACGCCGATTATTGTGCTTGCGAGTGGTTTGATCCTCGGGGAGGGATTGTTCAGCATCGTGAACTTGTTACTGGCGAGTCTCAAGGTACCTCATTTGTAAGGCGTGTCTCGATCAAATCGAATCACCTGGCATGATGTAGCCTAATGTTCCTCACTGTAATCTGAATGGCGAAGTGAGTGTTTTGCATAATTTTGACCTCTTCAGCTTTCCATGTCCATGGTTTCAGTTGCTGAATTGCGCATGATAAAGCCTGATATACTTCACCGCGTTCTGCACGGCGAAGTAAGTATGTTTTATTGCCATGTCATCCTTGATGTTCTCTATGTCCTCTCTCTCTATTGCTGCATATCACGCTAACATCCTCATGCATGAGTATCGAATGGCAGCCAACTCAGTCCGCAATCCATCGAGGTGGTGTATTGAGATGAGAGAGGCCATATTGGAACACCCTGTCTGCTCAGGTTGTGACGAAGCTATGTCCGGCGTCTTCACGTTGGCAAGACACAACAATGTTGCATTCACATAAGCCAGAGATATCGATACAACATGTAATTGAAATAGCAGAGATGCCATGTGCTTGTCGTGGTATTGCTCCAAAATCTCATGCAACCGCATCATCCGGCAAGTCCTTTGGCCGTTGTATGCGCATTCTTACTTGACCTACACCTTACCTCGGGCACCACTTTTCATCCACCGAGTTGCAGTAACCGGTATAGCGCACAGAGTTGGGGCCCTTAAGGTTATTTTGACTGTGAGCCTTCGTTTGCTTAGGCGAGGCCTTTTTGCAGTAATCGTTAAGCCCCGGGCAATCGCTCCGTTCGTCGCGAGAATCAACAGTGCACCCTGGCAGACAAGCTTTGACAGTGGTCTCGACAAATCCCTCGCTGGGGTAGTAGCAATCCAACACCATGGGAAGACAATCGCAAGCGTCATTGTCACTACAACGCTTGATCGCACCGGCTACCCTTTTATTGGGTTTTTCGCCGTCAAGAATCTCAAATGTTGTATTATCAGCGAATGGCGGCGGTGAGAAGTCGTACACTGCAAGTGCGACTGGTGAGGCTGATGGGGGCAGTTTAGCCGACGTCTTGTTGCGGGCCGTTGGATACCCCGTGGAATCCTGTACACAAAGAGTCGGGTCGTCCCATGCTGCACGGGCGGTGTAATCCCAAAGTTGCGTCATGTTGTACATTGTCTCAAGCGTGTAGTAGATGCGACAATCGGCAGCCTGGTATTGGAACTGCAGGGGAGTGAGCTCTGTGCCGCGCACTTGATTCCTGATCGTAAAACCGGCGTAGTTGATCCATATTCCTGTATCGTTCCGGTTGGGCAGTTGTGAAACCACTTCAGGCTTGCTGACAGGGGAATACTCCAGTCCTTCGTCGAAATCGAAGTCCAGAGCGCCAGCAGAGTATGCGGCAGCGCCGCGAGTGCCGCCGACTGCTTGCATCGGGCCTGGCTTAGGCTGACCACCAACGACAATGGTTTTGACTCCGGCTTCATGGGTCATAAACTCGACAAAAACAGCGCACGCAGAGGCGCAGAGACCGTCAGTCAGGATGACGATTTGTTCAGCAGCCCAAGGCGGTGAACTGTTGGCTATCGGGTCGCTCGGATCGTATCCATATGGGTAGTCGCCAAATGCAGAATAGTCGAAATTCTCATCAGACAAATTGTATTGTTGACTCTTCGAGAATTGGTCTTCGTTGTTGACCTCTGGGCCGTAGAACTCGTCCCAGGACGAAAAGGATTTCCCGGTAGCGGCGTTGATGCGGTTGGTGACGATCCACTCGCTCGACGCCCAATTGTAGTTTTCAGTCTGGTCTTGGCCTGAACGGCTCCACCACTCCGTGTAGGCTTCACCAAGAGAATTGCTCAACTCATGACTGCGTTGGCGGCTTGCACCATTTGGCTCGAGATTCGGAAAGAACTGCTTAAAAGTGTCGTAGGCAAGGAATACAAGACCTCCAGAGTTTTGTTGCAGGTCGATAATAACACGCGAAACTTGAGTCTGTGACGTATTGCCGATGAAGTCGCGAATCGCTTGCCGAAAGTTGGAGGTATCGATACCGTTCTGATAAAATGAGGGTATGCTGAGGACGGCGGTGGATGTCCCATCTAACGTATAGCTGGTTACAATACCGCCTCCTATGACGGAAAGATCGGCTTGGACGGTCATGGGGTTATTCGGGTATGCGCCGAAGCTGTCCATGCACCAATTTTGGCTTGACGGGGCTCCTTCGGTGCAATAGTCTTCTAGTGCCGCTGTAAAGTTGAATGTACCATCGGTGTCGTTGGTTGGAGGAAGAACCTCGTCTTCGATGGTTGGCCACCACCGCTCGCCTTCACGATAGCTTTCTGGCAAGAATCCGAGAACAAAGTAGTTGTAGAAATCACCGCCAGTAGTAAGAGGTCCCGTTTCCCTACAATCGATACAAAGTGCCCACCAGATGGACTCGACGACAGTAGTATTCTGGAGTGTGAAGTTGAGCGCATCTGAGAAGGCTCCATTCCCAGGGTAGAGCTTTGCCGATTGGAATGTACTTGGGATACCCTGAATATCGAGCGCCGGGTTGTTCATTATCGCGTTCCAGTCGGCATGTGGTTCTAAGAAGCCTTGAGAGTTCAGTTCGGCAAAGTGTTCCAGATATTCGATGACGTCCACCCCGTTGATGTGGGTCACAGGCGACGCTTTGTATTCGTTAATCGCCCAAGCTTCGTACAAGTCCTGATCAAGGTAGATTTCCGGCGCCTGTTTGCCGTCAATCGACGCTGTCACAAGCCCAAATGAGCCGACGAAAGAGAATGCTGATAGAGCCCCGGCATTGAGAATCGCATGCGTGTCACGAAGCTGGTTTACCAAGAGCTGAACCTGTGCTTCGAACTCGTACTGGTTGTTGTAGACAGCCGCAGTCACATTCTGTTTGATCTCCTCTAGGGCTGCGTCGACGTCGAATGGTGCTCGTTGGTAGCCTGCGGGTGGCGCTTTGAGATATCCCAGTGTGGACTGGAATTGTAAGGTCATGTTGTAGTAGTCTAGAAAACGCATTGCGACGGCTGGGTTGAAGGGAATGCTCTGCAAGCATTCGTACACCCACGACGCCTCGAATAGTGTATAGTCTGTTCCACTGATTAGTCGACGTGCTCTCCCTAATCATGTTGATAAATTCTTACCGTTGTTTACAGCGACAATGATATCTCCACACGCAGTAGAGATAGCTTCCAGAGAAGCTGCGGGAGGTCCAACTTGCCGAGGAGCGAAAGGGCTCTTCAGAGGTTTTGCCCATCCGTATGCCAATAGGCACGATATCGCCAGGATCTTAAAGAGAGACATGACGCGCGACCAGAAATCAGTTACCAAAGCAGGTTGTCTTGTCAGTAGATAGAATGGGTCTCCTTGACTTTTTAACTTGGTTGGGTGATCGCATCTTGTGTAGCTCTGTGGACGCCCTTGGCAGGGATCTGAACTTGTGGCGGTGGTTTGCGCAGCCTCAACGGGACTCCATAAAATTGGAATTCTACAGGAACGGTAAGCCGCCAACGATTGCTATCGAATGGATGAACACCTGCTCCTGCCAAGGCACGAAGCCACCAATTGCCACGGGCATAGTGAACGGGAAACTGCAGGGGTTAACCAGATCATGAGATAATTTAAGCCTTTCCCGGGATTGCGCCAGAGGCTTGTCAGTCGATTTGTGGGTTGATGCGTGAAGTACAAAGCAGTCATCTTGCATATCAGCCGCACTTGGCCCCCAGACGACCTTTTGGTCCGTCCCACGCGGTAAAAGGAGTCGGTAGGCTGTGAAGAAATACTGATCCCTGATTCGATATATCCGAGGTTGATGAGAAGCTGGCTGCGAGTTTGCATCGCCCTGTGTTTAGCTGAGCGTCCAACCATACCTAGATGAAACCTGGGTAATAGAAGTCGCTCGTCTACGCTGGAGTTCAAAAGGCGAACACAGCATTATAGAACAATATTGAGCGAAGCAGAGACTCACATTTAGTGCGACGAAAGATTCGCACAGTCATGAGCGGAACTGTCTGAGACGGCAGAAGGTCGAAGAAGGCAAATGAGGGCAGTAGAGAAGAGGCAGCGACTTCGGGAAAAGGGCGAATCTCGACCTCGAAACAGAAAGTGGTGTATACAGTCGACCAATGCAGCGTTACATTGTCGATGCGCCGGCTGACATGCAGGTTGTGTGGAGATGGGGGACGATGTGTATTTGTGGATTACGCGCCAGGCTGATTGACCGGTTGCATGACATAAGCCATGTGCACGGACATAGATGGAGCGGGGGCCGACCCACTGGAACCCGTCGCTCGTCCCGAATCCTAAAAGCAACACCTGCAGCCTTCAAACGACAGTGATTAATGGACGTCAACTTCCTTGCGAATGCATGCGCAATCTTGTGGCGCCTACGACGATGTCGGACGCCGCGGCCGGAGTCATTCCAGATCCTTTTGCGCCACAAACTCACGTTCCACACTCAGCCTTGAGCCGAAACACGCTACATGGCAGCGAATATGATCCCAACTTATTCAACAAGTTTTTCGCATCACCAGCCTTCTGCGCATGGTCTTCAGGTAGTAGGTCATGGCAACTTCACTGCTACGGAGAGCCTGGGTGTGGCAAAGTGAGCTCTCAGTGAACTGGTAGAGGACAGTACTTACCGTGACAGACGACTGTAGCTGCTTTCGCTGCCAAACGTCTGCCATCTAGCATAAACGGGACGAAAACTGCTGTCGCATCTGTATCCATCACCCAGCATGTGTGGTCGACATCATTGGCGTTTATAGAGGATCTTTTCCAGCTCATCTACTCCGAATTCGCTGCTGAACCCAATGCGGAGTATGAAGCATATCAGCGTGCGTGTCGCTGCGGTGATCCGGGAACCGAGCGCATTGAGAAGCTGATCGGAGCTTGTAAGAGCTTCGCCCCCGGTTCTTGCAAGTTCCTCATTCTCGACGGATACGATCGCATCAACGATGCATTACAGTCGATTGTCGATACACACTTATCCGCTCTGGAACCGAGCGGCTTCAAGGTGATGATCACACGAAGAGTTCCAGCGTTCTCTATGTCCATCAATACATATTGCGACGAATGCGAGCGGGAATACCTTGAGCTCTGGTGGAAATGTTTACATTGCAATGAGTTCGATCTGTGTTATGACTGTGAGAAGAAGAAGAGTCTACAGGAACCTCACATATGCCCGGTGAATGGTCTCAAGGAACCCTATCAGCATGTCAGCGTCAAATTGGGTCACTTCAACATGGAGCGCTTGCTCGAAGAAAGACTGAGCGTGCACTACCGCGATATTCACTCCGAGAACACGATTCGCATTGTTGAGTATATTGAGTCCAAAGCTGGTGGAAACATAACACTTGCGTTGTTATATCTGGAAGATATCTTTACCCACGACCAGATCGCTGCCTTCAGCAAAGATCGAGTTGACGACAGGCTGCCCAGGGACGTCATTGCTTATTTTGACACCGAGATGAACTTCATCGAACGCAAAATGGAACCCGAGCGTCTGCCTCCGCTATATGCAATTGGTGCCGCTGCAGATTATTCGCATGGGATTTCTCTGGAAGAACTTGAACAGTGTATACGCCTTGCCCAGATCACTTGTTCGAGTTTAGATTATCCCAGGTCTGTTGAAGACGTCTTTACTGCAGCAAATGGATGGCTTACAGATCTACGCACTGGAGATCGAAAGGTGGATATATGCTGCAAACCCGCCTTCTCTCTATACGTGAAAGAGAAGTACAATGATTCGCTAGAACGGGCGAGGCACCATGTCAAATCTACGGCAAGAGAAAGATCTGGTGCTACTCCATTACATCAGTTCCAAGAGACATCCTCATCGGACAAGACACCTGATCTCTTAGGAAGCACATTCGACACATTAGCAAGCGACAGGCCTCCCCCGACACCGCTCATGAGCCTCGAAGATGGCCTTCGTATCCGTGAGCTGGAAGGCACCTTTGGCAAGGCATCATTCCTCGACAAGGGCGAAGGGCTAGTCCAATCGCCGCCTAGGATCAACAGCGCTGAATATGTACCGCAAGCGTCTCAGGGCATATCTCCCCGCCATAAGCCTGAAGGAAAAGTCACGCAACCAAAGCCAGCTCCAGCGCAGTCGCCAGTGAGACTGTGCGACTTTTGCGTCAGCAATGTATTAGATTGCGATGCTTCATCCGGACAACATCGTCCCTCAATTGATGGTACAAAAAGTGCTACGTATCAATGCACAATTTGCAGCTCGCTCTACGCCAACGTGGAAGACTTTATATTGAATGCCGAAAACTGGCCATTGTATCACTGGACCCTACAAGCACTACCACGTGGCAGAGAGTTGAAAGGATCAATGATGTTACGGTTTCGATCTTCTCATCCGAAACTCACAACCAAGGCTTTCCGATTGCTACCAGGAACCGATCTGCATGTACCTGTTCCTGAGGATTTACAGGGAACAACCGATCCAGAACGCAGTGGCGGGGATCAAATCAACAGATGGATGGACACTTGTATGCACGATCATCAAGACTGCAGCAAAGCCTGGCACGACCAGCGATCCAAGCTCTCCTTCCTACCGACGCGACTTCTGGATGTTGACACTGGAGATGACGACATCATTCGCTTAGTAGATACCAAAACAACGAAAGTCAAGGGCCCTTACTGCACGTTGAGCCACGCGTGGGGACCACGAGAGAAACCGTTCATCACTACCACCGTGTGGAACATGGCCAAGCATCTGATCACAGGCATCTCCCTGGATGAACTTCCACGTAACTTCCAACACGCAATACACGTGACCCGCTTCTTGAAGGTGCGATATATTTGGATCGATAGTCTCGCGATCGTTCAGGAACCTTTCGGTGACTTTGCAAAAGAGGCCGATCTCATGCACAGGGTGTATCGGTACTCGCATTGCAATATCGTTGCAGCAGACTCAAAGGATGCACACGGCGGCCTTTTCAAGACGCGAAATCCTCACGAAATCCTTCCGGTCACATACCAGGGGACTAATGCACACCATAATCTGGGGGAGAAGGCTTGGACGATTGTCCCGGCGGACCTTTGGGAGAAAGAACTTCTGAGCTCCGTCATATATGGTCGTGCCTGGGTCTTTCAAGGTAAGCAGAGCCCAGCGCATTGACAACTTTCCTGCCGCCAAGCTGTTTCGATGCACCAAAAGCTAACTCCGGGTAATAAACAGAACGCATCCTCTCTCCCCGCATCCTCCATTTCACAAAGCATCAGATCTTCTGGGACTGTGGTACTCTCTCAGCCTGCGAGGTGTTCCCCAAAGGCCTTCCCTTCCCTCTAGACCACAAAGCGAGCACGGACCGACACTGGCGAGGACGGCTGGCCAAAAGCACCATCTCATCCAACGCGCTGATCGGCGTCAACGACAACGAAAGCTCCTACACTTTCTGGATGTCAGCGGTGCAGAACTACACGGAATGTGAACTGACGAATCAAGGCGACAAGACGATAGCAATCTGGAGTATCGCGAAGTTGCTACGCGATTTCATGAACGAGCAATACGCTGTGGGCATGTGGTCTGAGGCGCTGGAGGAGCAATTGGCTTGGAGAGTGCGAGATACCAAATCGTGTAAGAGGATACCGGAGCTCGATGTCAATATCCCTAGCTGGTCATGGGCGAGTATCAAAGGTGCTGTTATGCCTCGACACCGACTGGCCATACGACCATACAGGATTACAGATCACGTTGGAGCTGCCGTCAGATTCACAGTCAAAGAAGAAACCAGGCAAGGCGATAAGGAGCCCATATTAGAGAGCAGAACACTTGGACTGAACACAAGCATCAACATTGGGCGACTGGTTGAAGTGCAAGAAGGCCAATACCGTCTCCATTTTTCGAGCGAGGCCTGTACAGAAACCGTTGAACTAGATGTCTTTCATGACACTCCACCAGCGACTACAAGCAGCTATCGAAAACATTACCCATTTATCATCCTCGCCGCATCCGCCACTCCAGACAGTACCGACACTCCCCACTCCCCCCAATCTTCTTCCCTCCAAGCGCGCCAGACGTACTCCGGTGTAGGCCTCGTCCTCATCCCACGCCGTACCTGGTTAGCCAAGCAAGAACGGCTGTATCGGGACTACAAAAGCGCACTAGCAGGCGCAGAACCGTCTCGAGAACAACAATGGCGGCTGGATGCATTTGAGAAACTCGTGTTGCAGCCGCCAGAGCAAGTCATGAAGGTGGGAGGAAAGATTGACTGTGTGTATCGGCGGGTGGGAGCGCTGCAGTTCCGAGATATGGATGAGCGGGCTTTCAATGAGATGACGGATGACCGGAAAAGGGAGGATATTTGGTTGGAGTGAAGCGGCTTTTCTTCTTGTACATCACCTCTTCAGACCTTGCCCCCCCAAGATCACATCTCCTTACTTGATGTCAGAAGAGAAGCCTCCAAAACTACGACCCCTCACCTAGCCCACTATATGATGTGTAACACAATGTATCAACGCCAGTACACCACAGCTACCAGCATCAACCGCCATACTAAAACAGCACAACCCATCTCTCCATCACACAGCAACAGACACTTTCAAGCTATAACCTACTTCCTTCACGTGCTATCGCGTGTACAACAAGCCCACTTCAAGCAAGAACTGATTACCAGCAACGATGCAATACTTGACCTTACATCAAGCCGCGCAAACGCATTCGCGCAATACTCTGCTCCATGTCTAGTTTCGATCCGCGTGCGTAACTCCACCCAATGCACCTCAACAGCCTCAACGCCACCAGGGTCTTGCTCAACACATTGATCAAAGCATGTGACACCACACTAACAGACACCGAACCTTGGAGTATATGCCTGAAGCCACTGCGAACCATATCCAAATGCTCGGTAGCCCTCCCCTTCGCTTCTTCCGCGAACAGCTTTACTTTTGCCGTTCGTTGAACCGCAGCGGCCCAGCCCAACACGAGATCAGCGAACCGAGTACGGCAACGAAACGAGCGTGGGAGAGCGAAAGCATGTTCCATAGTCTAATTATCAATACATGGAAGAAAGAACGGGGCAGATGGAGACGAGGAAACAGCAGAAACCTGGTTCTCGATATAGTTCAAGAAGTGGACGAAGAATGATGTTAGACACGATACGCTGGGGAAGTCACACTGTCAATGAGAGCAGGTCGTCTCGAATAGATGCATGATGTGGGAAAAGATCTGCGTAAATGAAGAAGAGGACGATGATGAGTATGCACAAGTTTCCATTGCTCGCAACTCTCCGCAAAAGGAAGTGGGTATATAATACACATAAGCGCGCGTCTCCTCCGCACTTAAACGATCCCCACTTTAGGGGGGCAACATAGTCCAAACCACGCTACCTGTACATGTCTAAGCCAGAGCCTAGATCCCATCCATCTCTTCATCCCCTCATCCATCACAAGAGACAAGCCCCTCCACATAACCAGATAAATCATTCCTACCAAATCATCCAACCAAGGTCCTCCAGGTGAACGCGTAAAATCAAAGAGCGAACGGACGTCCGAGGCCAGCCATGCGGGTGGGGGGTATCTCGAAACCAAGCTAAAGAGCGAAAGTAGAAAACAGAACAAAGGTCGTTAAACATTTCCCTCACTCACACACATTGAAGTGGAGGAGGGGGAAAGCGTCGTGCGTATGAATGTAAGAGTTGTAAGGAAAGAATGGGGTTTGGGCGGCCTCAGGCACAAAGATGACAGATGGAGAGTAGAAGTGAACGCCGTGAGATGCATGAATGTGGTGATTCAAAACGTTGTATGAGATAAAATGAAATGAGGGAGATCAGTAGTTGTAGCTGTTGTCGTAGCCACGAGGCGCAGTGGGGGTGTAACTGCGTTGTTGCTGTTGCTGTTGGGGTCCAGAGACGGGTGTGTAGCTACGTTGGGGGCCGGGACCCTGAGGTGTGTAGCTACGGGCAGGAGGTCCCTGAGCCCAACCTGGTTGTTGAATCGGTGCCGTTGCACTTCGTTGTTGTTGTTGAGGTGGCGCTGAGCCATTCATGCCTCGGTTGGGGAAAGGTTGCGAGGCTTCGCGACGCTGGATTGCTGATTGTAGTGATGCTGGGACACCAGCTCGGGGTGGTGCAGTGCCAGATCGTGGAGGCGCGGTACCTGAGCGTGGTTGAGATGGTAGGCCCATTGGCTGCGATGGGGCGGGCGAGCCGGCTCTTAATAAGCTGGGCATTTGAGGTGGCTGGTAGTCGGGCTGTCCATTTGAGTCCGAGAAGTAGTGCTGCGAGATATCTTCTGTGGGGTTGACATCGACAGGTGACAGCTCATACTCCGGGCCCATCTGAGGACCCCGGCTGTCGTAGGGGCTGAACTCTTGGTACGGTCGGTTGGGGTGAGCTTGTTGTGGTGTATTCCGCGCATCGAGGGGAGTGATGAGTTGAGGATCGTTCTCGTATCGCCCGTTGTTGTAGCTTGTATCCACAGGGGGCATGGGCCCACGTGGTGGGAGTGGGGACGCTCTGCCCTGTGACATTGGTGTGAAGGGTCGGTCGGACTGGTAAGGCAGGTTGTCTTGCTGGCCAAAGTACCCAGTGCCGTTACGGTCTAGAGGTGGCATTTGTGGTGCAGGCGACGACCTGCCCATACCTCCTGCCTGGTTCAGCATTGGCGCGTTTGAAGCGAAGCTGGCAGTCGAGAAGTTTGTGAATTGTGCGTCCCGTTCTGGCATGCCAGGTCGCTCGTCTAGCGTGGGCAGAGACGGCTTGTTCATCAAGTTCCGGCCGGAGTTCGAGGTGTTCGATCGCTCCGGGTTTGTTCTGTATGAAGGTGTGTTTGCGAGGGTATACGGGGGCAGTGTCGCGGTGGTCTGCATCGTGTCGGATCGTTGCAGCGAGAAGACGGTCGATGTATCGTCATCGTCGCCTTCGAGCTTGGGTAGCGTAGGACGGGACTTGGAAGCGTCAAATTCGCCCTTCTTGATGGCCCTCTCCTCCTCCCTCTTCAGCTGCTGGTTCTGCTTCTCGATGGCCTTCTTAATCTTCTTGCCCACAATACGCTCCAGACGGGTCTCGACCTTGCGTCGGCAGTAGTTGGTAAGACTGCCATCAGCCTTGGGGATGTAGTGCCAGAGGAAGAAGAGGTACAAGATACCAGCGATGATGAGACCCAGCGCAGCGATGACCCAGATGACGAGAGAGAACAACATGGTGAAGTAGATGACCGTTTCCTGCTTGTTGCCGGTCTCGACCATGAGCTTGATGTTCATGAAGAATTGCTCGAAGTTGGAGCGATCTTCTGACGCGTGCTCGCCGACGGGGATGAGCTGCGCTTGCATGACGGCGTATAAAGTCATGGCATTGAGGGCAATGCGAGGTCCCTGGGCGACAATGATGAGAAGAGCGCTCTTGAACTGGAAGTATACGAAGAGCGCGATGTAGTTGGCACCCTTTTTACTCTTGGTCAACTCAGCGAAGACCAGGAAGCGGCGCCAGCCTTGTCCAGTCTTTGTGATGCGCATACTCTGCAGTATAGCCGCCAATGGCTCGAGGTAGCATTCCGTGACACTTCCTGTCCGCATGACGCGCAGAGCCCGGATCCATCGGTATGCGAGAAAGACGTAGGAGACGATGATGGTGATGGCGAAGATCCATTTGGCAATGTCGAAAGGCACGGTAGGTTTGACCTGGCTCGTCCATTTGTCGAAAGCGAGGAGGTTGACGGCGGTAAAGGCATCGGCGGCGTAGACGGCGCATGAGATGACGACGAGAATCCACAGCCAGGCGTAAGAGAAAGGCGCGAGGCAAGATGTAGACTTGAAGTCGGACAAGTTCTAAGACAATTAGCGATGCGCTTCCATATTCGCGCTCAAGTGCTTACGATATAAGTCCACTTCTGCTCCTCCGTCACAGTAGTTCCCTTTTCGCGGTCTCCGCAGCACCCCATGTTGGCGATTCGGTATTAGTCGGTATGTACGTATGTGTGTATGTAAGTATCCGCTCAGCGGTACGGTGGCCTGCAGTCCAGCTGTTCGTCTAAGGAGTGACTTGGTCGCTAGGACATGGGTTGATTGTTGTAGCCAAAAGGAGGAGGCAATTTCGGTTGTAGAGTGAGTATTCGCGATATGGTGGTGACAGGCCGGCTGCTCACCACTAGCGAGCGAGGGAAAGAGCGACAGGGGCGATAGTTTTGTTAAGCAGGCGGAGGACTGCGGCGGCGGGCCAGGGACGGAGGGCTTTCCAAAAAGGTGGGTGTTCGGAATGCTACCAGAGTGCCGTGCGCATGACAAGAGACGTGTGCGCGTGGGTGGAGCGTTGCGTGTTTGAGGTGCGCAAGGCTTGAACAGCGGTGACAGCGGAAGAGGCGTGTCCGATGGCTGCGTACGTATATGTATAGCGACAACAGTGGTATTGTTGTTGCTCGTGCTATTGTTGCTGGCTTTGCGCCGTGGTGAATGCGACGGCTATAGTTGTGGTGAACGAGTGGGTACGGGCGTCAGGGAGCGGCAGGCGCGAGGGGGTGTCGAGCGGCAGTCGCAAGATGAACACAACACGAATGGAGTACAAGATGCTATGGCGCGAGCAAGTGAGTGAATCGCAGCGCAGGCGTCTACGTTTGTCGATGGAGCACAAAACGGCCACGAGTGGTGTCGAGGGAGCGTCAACAGGTAATACTTGGTCGCGTTCGAGGGCAGCGGCTGGCGGAGAGTTCAGGCTTGTCTGCCATTGGCCGGCGCCACATCCGTCCTTGTTTGGCCCCATGCTTCACCTTGCCCAAGATAGCAGCCCGCTAGCCTGTTCCTCTCATCATGCGCCGCAATCGCCGTGGGGTAAATTGCAATCCCATCTAACGAAGACCCTATCACCGCTTTGGCCGCCTCTACTTCGCCATGTAGACAACAGCCCCACCGCAAACTTGACCTCCAGAGAGGCTTCTCGCACCACCTGTGGCTGTGGCACAGGCGGTTGCAACAAAAGCGTATCATCCTGCTCTTCGGCGTGTTATGCCACACTCCCTGTCCGAGGCGTGCATGCAAAGCTTCCAAAAGGGCGTTCGGCCTTGCCGGCAAGTTCCCACATAACGTCACGCGCAGAAGGACCGGTTACTTGGGAAGCATCGGGAACATCGGCTGCCTCAGCCTTGAAGCCTCAGCCATCTCGAAACGAAACACGCGTGATGCGCATCATTGGGCTTCCTGACCAGGCAGGCGCCTTCGTCATGTCTGCATTGACGTCGCCTTGCTGGGTACAGATCGACGGGCTATGGAGAGTGCCGATGCATCCGACTCCACTCGGCAGTCAAACTCTCCTTCGACGTGTATGCGAGCCCAAAACAGGAAGTTGAAGGTTCATGCACAGACAACCAGTCAGCATTGATGTAATTGCTTACTCCCCTAGCTGTCGGGAATAACGTCCCAGAGTATTGACGGTTCAAACTGCCCTACTATCCTCCTTGTATCATCTTCGGGTTTTAGTACCACATACACCAGAGCCTTTGCCCCCTCTGCTTGATCATAAGATCCCAGCCGTAGCTTCTCAGCCCTCCAAGTAAAATTGTCGACTAATGTGTCATCAACTTTGGCCCTACGCGGAAGTCCAGTGTGACGTGCCGGACGCTTGGTACCCTTCAGTAATGGAATGCATGAGAAAGAGGTCAGTATCTCGATATGTACCGCGTGGGAATGTGGGTGCATAAAACGATCGTGGAACAAATAATCTTCGCTCACTCCCAACGCATTCATCTTGATGGAAATTCGGTCTCGCTAGACGCTGTGCAAGTGCTCTAACATATTGGTGTAGTCCTCGGTATCACGGATGGGGCCATATAGGAATATTGAGAGCTTCTGAAGGTTTGGTAGACATTTATGGAAGACCTTGCTTGCACTCTCTGATCTCTCGGTGTGGGTAGGAGACGGAATCATATCGAGCTCTGGTAGTGACGTTCCATACCAGGAGAACTTCCTGGTGCCGACGAAGTAATGTAAAGAGCGAATGAGAGCCATGTTGAACCGGGATCTTTCCCTACACAGTTCGACTAGCACGGTGGTATCGAGACAGACAAACGTGTTTTCCTGATAGAGCATCGTCATCGTTTCCAGGTATCTAACACGTCAGTCCGTGGGCTTCCGCAATGTCGCTCTGTCTGATGACTTACGTGGTCGAGCAAGTTAGGGGCAAAGACATGGCGCCTGATTCCGCTTTCGACATGGCTATGCTAGTCATGATAGAGACAGTTGCATTGGCGACACTCGTGGTGCCATGGCTGTCGAAGACACTAGACGTGACTTTGCCCCGCTTTCGATAGAGTACGATGAACTGTCCAGTCATGGCACATTCCCAGATCATGATCCGGATCTCAGCTGGTAGACTGAGAAGACGGCTCTTCTCCTGTGTGAGACGTTTGCGAGCGCGCAGCTCCAAAGGTTTGTACTTTCGCACCTTCTCAGCCTCCCTTTTCCGCTGTCTTTCTTCCATCATTTCGCCCAGCTCTTCACGGATTCTATTTGCGAGTCGAATTTTCTTATCTAGAAAACACCTAATGCCGTGTTTCCAGCGCGCAACCAGTGAATGCGCGCGATGTTCTTGTTCTTCTCCCAGGCTTGGTACGATGGCCAGGTCCGGCGCGTGGTGGGACTGCATGTTGATTAGTAGGCGCAGACAGTGGTATCTGGATTGGACGTCGGATTGGAAGTACTGTCCCGCTCCAGTATCTTGGGGTGAGTAAGAATCAGAAGCGACAGTGTTGCAAAGTTCATACGTCCGCATGCGGCACGGTTGAGCCCTGAAGTCCTGCAGGCAGCAACATGTAACTCGCTGTGACTGGACAGCCCGCCAGCTGACCGCACTTGCCACATACTGGACGGCAGCTTCCAAATCGTCGCATGCACATCCGTCGCATCGCATCTTCATTATGCAGATTGTCAACATTAACAATCGGCCGAGGAGGATGGGTAAGGCAGCTCAATGGCGCCGCGCTGCACGGTTCTTTATCTGTCTTCCATGGAATCTTACGGCTTGCCTTTGCGTTCGCCTTTGGCCGAGCACTCCTCACTGTCACGCTCCGGAGAAAGCGACCCCAGAACCTCCCTACATCCCGCTATTGCTGCGCAACGACTCAGCAAGTGCTCAATCGCAGAGCAAGCTTCTGAATTTGCCCGCCGAGCTACGTTCTATCATCTGGAAACATCTGTTAGGCGAAAAGCACATCGCATTGTATTACAAGAACGGTAGAATCGCCTACGAGTTCCTGGAGGATGAGGGCCTTGATGAAGTGTCGAACATCACACCAGCAGTCATCCAGGCAGTCCACACAAACCACGCTGCAAACCCGCACGGCAAGCGTGAGAGAACCAACGTATTGGCGGTGCTCCAGTCATGCCAGCTAGTGTAAGAGAGACATGCGCGTACGAGAATCCAGCCTTGCAACTGACAAAGCTCCATCTAGTTACCGAGAAACCATCGATATGCTCTACGAATCAAACACTTTCGCGATGCTTCACAACACGGTTCTGATTGACTTCCGTCGGGCTGCTCTTGCATCGCACCTATCCCAAATTCGCTCATTGCACATTCACTTCCAGTTCCGCGAGCTTGGCCAGCATCAATTCTTGTATGCCGGGGCAGACGGCTTACCATCTCCATGGAGCATTGAGACTTTCACAACATTAGGGTCAAGCCCTAGTATCGCCAGAGCCATCCAAAGTCTTCCGAACCTCGAACGCCTTTCCGTGTTCATCCAAGGTCCCTTGACGACAGAAATCACATACCAACGAATCCGTTGGTCATTGAGGTCCATCCGACATGATATGAAAAGTTTGAACTTTATGATGGTCAGGTTCCCAAGACCGTTTCCTGATCACGGGTACCAAATGCGAGCTCAACGCCGCAATCAAGATCCCCGTGATCTAGTGGAGCAGGTCTTGCGGAGGGAAAAAGAGCTGAACGGATTTCGCATCGTTCAACCGCTGGTAGAGCTCGCACAGGACGTGTATGATGTGGCGGATTCGGATATCGAAAGCGAATGGCGCGTAGGGAATATATATATGAAGTGTAACGGTGTTGAGTATGGATTCGCGACACGAAGCTACGCTGTACTTCGACCAGAGAAAGAGACCGAAACGTACAGGCCTGATCTTGAAGCTGAGCCCAACTGCTATCTGATGTATCCGATGGTTCCAGTCATCGAGCATGAGGATCCAGATGACTTGTATGGGTCTGGGTATCGAGCGCTCAATTGGCCTCCGAGACTGGACGGGCAGGTTTGATGGTGCGCGACGCTTGCGTTGGTTGGGTAATGCTCAAAGCTGGATAGGCTATGTTCCACATAGTGCTTACACGTTCGAGAGAAAGCTTGACAGGACGCCATGGTTGACGAAGCTTTACGCTCTACGCTTGTCGCATTTCTAGCAGGGTCAATACCAGCGTAAAAGACTTGGTATACTGAGTTGGGAAGTCGATGAGACAGAGTCGATTACGGCACTAATGGCTTGGAGCGGTAGAGTTCGGCGGCATGGCTTGGGCCGAGTTTGAGCCGCGTCGCGATGGCCAAGTAGCCGCCGGGTATATCAGCATGCTTAGTAAGGCAATGCAAGAATGCCTTTCAAGCTTCTGAGACATGCTGCGTGAAGCTCAGTAAGTAGCGACCAGATACAAACGCTTAAGTATCCCGAAGTAGACGCGAACAAGCTCCAGCGTACAGCATGACGGATGCATGCAGATCATGAAAAGGATTGCTTATGTTACTCGGCTATCTCTGTCAGCACATGTCTAAGCTTCCTAGCAGACTCCTAACTGGCTCAACCAAAGTACAGCAAACCATCGCTCAGGTACGCGCGCCCTCAACAACAAACTCGACTACCCGACGCCTATCGGTGAATGCGACAACGTGCGTCTTACAAATCAGGACGCAGCGCGATGATGGACTGCTAGTGACAAACCATGCCGAAC